GACTGAGTGGAGTATAGTTTTTTACTCTAATCCCCACCCCACTCCCCATGCTGTGTTCAGAGAACCTGGGCACTTACTCCAGGTAGGGCCCAGTTCACTAGTGTCTTTTCTCAAGATTAGGATGTTCCTTCCCCTAAAACGTCAAAACTGCACACAGCATCCTTCTCTTTATAAGCCCAAGGAAACCCGAGGGCTCCTTTGTTTCCTGGCCCAGATCTGAAATACTATGTGGTCCCCCCAGCCCTGCCCCACCTTGGAACATGGAATCCCAAGGAAAACTGAAACTGTGCCATGGTTCTCTTTGAGATGTGTGGTTTCTCTAGTAGTCACAGTTTGAAGCGATACTCTTGTCTCTACTATTGAGCGCCTCTCATAACTGGAATCAAAGTGTGTGTCCACCTTAGACTCCGGCGATACCCCTGTCTCACAGCACATTCTCTGCCTCTCCCCAGACATCCTGCACTTGCCCACCTCCATGCTTCCGCTCTCGCTGTTCCTGTAGAGGCGAGATGAGCTCACACCTCTCTCTCTCTCTCTCTCTCTCTCTCTCTCTCTCTCTCTCTCTCGTCCTATAGAGGAATCAGTCGCTGTCACCATCTGCTCTCTACCACCACCTCCTTTGCCCCCGCAGAGATTCTGCTGCATTTACAGGCAGCCGAGTGTATATGCTCATGCTTAGAAACACAAGATCCCGGCTTGCTCCTGGCTGTGGTACTTCCTAGCTGTGAGCTGAAACATGCCAGAAACATATGACTGAATTTCTTTTTCATGACATGGGTGTAATTAAATGATCACCTGTGTCGTAGTGTTTCTGGGACTTGGGCTTCGCCCTGTGCTTCTTCCTCAGCCCTCGCCCTTTCCCCTTTCATATGGAGCTGCTTCAGGGCGGAGAGAGTATTTCATTTCCTGGGTCTGTGGATGGATGGAGTTGCTGCCAGGACTCCTGTAAAGGACGGAGCAATTCTATACATCCTAATTGAGCACATCCAGCTAGGGCATTGTTAACTGAAGGTTCCACTTTGGTGTGCTAGACTGGCCTGGAAGGAGTTTTCTATTGTGTGATTCTCAGCACACACAGGGATGGATCTGGTGGGATACTGCTTCTTGAGAGATAGGGAAGAGTCTAGCGCTGCTCTGCCTATCTGGAGTCTCAGCCAGTCGAGAGTCTCAGCAAGTTGGGAGTCTCAGTCTATTGGAAGCTCATAGTGCTAGCTGTCCCTCATGGCAGAGTGGGGGTCTTGCTTGGACATGACCTGGCTTCTTTCCTGTAAGAGTTGCAGAGTTAGAAGGAAAGGGTAGTGGAGCTGAGGCTAAGAGTCCACTCAGAAGCCATCTTCTCTGGGAAAATCCCTTCCATGTTCATATCTTGCTGTTATGGAAGGTTGACTATGGAAAGGCATCTTTATTAAAATGATAGTTCAGTTGTTCAGCTTCTTCTTGTGTCAGTCCCTCAAATGCAGCACCTACCATGAGTCTACAATTCAAGTCCTTTAGGCCTGGATACCAAGTCCTCCATGTTCTGTCTGTAACATCTGTCTCCAGCTTTAGCTACGTGCTGCTGTCCTTACTAGGGTCTCTGAGAATAGCCTGACTTCATCCTCAAGGCCCGTGCACCTTGGTCCCCTGTGCCCATTGTCTTCTTTTATAGTCAGAAGCCCTCTTGGGTTTTCAGGCTTCCTTGCAAAGCCGCCACCTCAGCAGAACATGGCACAGACCTGCTTTTATGGTCTTTTCACCCAGTCTTGCATGTTCAAGCATTCAGGGAATCTAGACACGTGTTGGCACCTGAGCCTGCTAGGTCCACACTGCTTCATCAAAGCCCGACTACTGGTAAGCATCTGTTTTCTGGGCACTGACTGCGGGGAATATGCCATCATGTCAGCTAACAGCTGTCCCAGGGGGCCTCAGAAGTCGATACCAGGGTTACTCAGGATTTGTTTGATCAAGAACGCAGCCGTTTGAAATCTGTTTTAGAATTGATCTGATGCTATGTCATGGCTGTCCTTTCTCAGGCCTATTCTGGACTCCTATAGATGTATCTGATTGATGCCAGGCCTCTGAGCTTTTTACTTAAGAACTTCACAGCAAAGTAGAATAGACAACAGATTTGCAGGTTTCTTACATGAACGTTAAAAAAAAATGCAGCCATTATTTTTATACCAAAGCAATTCGAAGTGTGAAAATGGCAGTTTTTTTTAAAAAGGTATATTTCTGCCCCGAGAAGAAGAATAAATGTCCATATTCTATTTGTGACTATAATTAATAAAACCCTTGTCACAGAGCTTGGTTTTTGAAGACTCTGATTTAAGACTGCTGCTATAATCCCCCAATCCTTTGATGTTCACTCCAGTGCTCAGGTTCCTCTGTGAGGTAGGAGCTCTTTCTCAGTGTTGATAGAGTTTAAAGAAGGTTTTGGATGTGAAGCTGATTAATGTGCGATCAAATATTAGGTTTGGAAATATTTTTGAAAGTAGCGTTTCTTTAAGCAGCTTGCGTTAGAAGGAAAATATATGTAAAGTGTTCATGTATTGTATTTTTGAAAATGATAACATAAATAAATTTACTTTGGAGGACCATCACATATCTTAGAGAACATAAATGATTTATATTAAGTTTTTAATCCAAATAATTTGTCTGTAGGTCCATAGTCGTTGAGAAGCAATAGAGACCTCAGTGTGCATGTGTGCCTCTGTAGTGCCTATGCTGAGTGCAGAACTCAGGGAAGTGGTTGTCCACACCCTGAAGGACAGGTAGTGTCGGCCCTGTTTTGCTGACAGGGAACTTGAGCTCAGAGAGGTTCACATCATTTCCATAAGCCCCAGATTTGAAACTGTGCTACTGACGGCTTTTAGAAACCCTTCTATTTACCCACGTGCCCTGGCTTTCTTTATTCTCTCTGTCCCCTTTCACCATGGTGGCGGCTGGTTTAGGGCCAGATCATGCAGTGGCAATCTGCAGTCGCGACCCCTTTGATAGTGGGGAGTCCAGATGAGTTTCTTGGCATTCGCTGCCAAGAATGTGCCTTCTCCCTGCTTCTTCGCACCCACTCTTCAGCCTTTGTTTCTCTTCCTCCCTTTTGGGGAGACATTCTTCATTTCCACTTTAGAAGCCACGAGGTTATGTGAAGAGGGTTCCATAGTTTCATTTAAAACATCTAAGTGACAAATCAAATTCACTAGTGTTTCTCACCATCCTCTGGAACCTGCAGACCCTGTGTGAAAAAGATGTCCTTTGGCTAGAAATTGGGAGCTGTCTTCCTTGACTATGTCACTTTCCAGACCGGCCCCTCCCTTCACTTCCAGGTCCTTAGCCTACTCACCTGGTAAGAGTGCGGGCCCTGTTGGTGATTTCTAAGGTTCTAAAATTCTACATTTTTTTCAAAGTCTCCAAGCTATGAGTTTCTGCTGAGCTGCACATTCCTGCAGCTGTTTCTCTGACACTTTTCAATCTTTACATTTAATCTCTTCAACAATGTATAATTTTTTAAAGGGAAGCTCTTATAGACACTTCTGAAATATAAGGGTGGAGGGAATAAAAGGATGTTAAAAAATAGAAAACAACCAATTAAATAGTATATAGCATATAATTCTCCTTGGAAACTTACTGTGAAATTGAGGAGCACTTTAACAACTGGTAATTTAAATTGCATTTGAACTCTACTAATGGTTTGTTTGCATGGGAACCTCAATCATTTCACAGCAGTTCTTTAGCAAAGCGGCTTGTTCTCTTTATGGCAACGGAGAAGAAAATTATTAGAAGAGAAGTTGACTCTGGGAAAGGGCGGCCACTTACACTGGCACACCGGAGAAGCTGGAGCGTGGATGTGACTCCCCAGGGACCAAGGCTAGAGGACTGTGTCTTTATTGAGGCTTAGAAATCTGGGGAGTCAGAAGCCCTTTGCCTCCCATAGAAACTGTTTTGGGTTTCTCTCCCTCACCCCTTGCTCTGCATAAGGAGCTTTGATTTTATGAGGTTGGGGTTGGAGGTATTTTTTTTTTTTTAAGATTTCACTTAAAAGTAAAGTTGGCCTCTTACTGATCAGTTTCTCAGCAATTTTGAAGTCCTATCTCTGGTAAAAATGATTTTCGAGATTTCTGGTATTCTGAAGACCTCAAATTCTCAGGAATGAACGGCTTCAGTGGGCTCGTCTTGAGTGAATTCCATTTTCCTTATGGGATTTCTTTCTGTTGTTGAGATATACTTAAGTGTATAAGAACTAAGGCAGGTTCCTGGCATCGTTAGTCTCTGTTAAAGATGGGCAGTAACTATATGTAGTGGGCTGAGCCCCAAATCCCCTGTTACTAGTGATGACCATTTCCCTGTCCTGGTGCCTGGCTCTCTTGTGGTGGAAGAATTGGGGAAGTCACTTTGACGTAACTCCCCCCCCCCCNCCCCCCCCCCCCCCCCCCCCCCCCCCGCCACTCTAAGCTTATACACAGATGGGAAGACTGATATCAGGGACATGGAGTAATGATTGGTTAGAAGATGCTCAAAGATTCTTTGAGAATGAGGGTGGAGTTTCCTGATGAGTTTCAGTTCCATGAACCTTGGACAAGCGTTGCAATAGTCCACAGCTCTGGAATATACATTTTATAATCCCAAGAAAAGAGCCATATTTCTCAATGAGATGAGTCTGCATTGAGGATTTACCAAGGAATATTAAGACTTCGCAGCTCTCTATGGCTCCCTTGTAAATTCAGAGGGCCACTACGTCGTGTTTTTTTTTCCTCCTTAATTGCTCTGTCTTGGACTTGTGTTGTTTAGATGGGCCTGTTTTCCAGGAGTGCTGGGGACGAAGAGTGGGAGCATTCTCTTCCCACTTCCTTTGAGACAAACTTGCCAAACAAGAGCGCCTGGTACTGACGGGAGGATAAGGGGGTCTGGAAGTCAGTCAGACATCATCCAGTATGGTCCAGTCCGGGACATTGTCAGCCTAGGAAGCTGTCCTGATGCTGGTTGGAGCCCGGAGCCTCAGCCATTCCTCTCTCTGTTTTCCGCAGGTGGGAACTGAAGCAGAGAAGTAGAGAGCCAGCTGGTTCTGCATTTGTCATCGTTCCCTGCTCCCTCATTGGAGAGGAGGAATTTTCCCTTAGCTGGTGAGTGCTACACAGAAATATGTTTCTTTTTTAATAGCAAAATACATGTTTTGATCAGTTTTGCAAAGTAACAGGTTCTGGGAGCAAGAGTTGAGAACTGGATAATTCTAAAATGTTCATCATCATCATCATCATCATCATCATCATCATCATCATCATCATCTGAATTGGTTTCATGGCAACAGACCAGATATAAAAATGTCAATAAAATCTGTGGCAAAGCAAAGGTGGGCTTCACCTCTGACAAGGTGGCGTACAGAGAAACTGGAGGAAAACTCAGTGGCAATGATTTTATCTTGCCAGTGATTGTGTGGCTCCCTTCCCTTTCCTTTGGCAGAAAGTGGAGTGTCATTGAACGTGAAAGACTGGCATGAGGATGACAGGGAACAAGCTGATATTTCCTGTTTGCTCCTGTGTGATGTGCTGTTTTCTTTGGCAATCTCATTTTATTTTCCCATCAACCTTTGGAGGTGGAGAGGGCTAGCTTAGCCTTGGCAGAGTGTGGAAGCCCCTGTTTTAATGACCTGCTAGTGCTCTGGTGCTAATTGAGTGTGGGCTTTGTTGCCTTCCGTCTGAAAGGAAAGGAAAGATACCTTGTCTTGCAGTGGCTCTCTAGTTCATAGGTGCATTGGTACGGTGGATAAGGCGTGACCTGGGGCGCCCAGGTAACGAGCTGAGGGAAATAGTAGGGGGATTCTTGCTTCTATTGACTGTAGTTCTGTGGTTTCCCTGATGAGGATCAATCCCTATGTCCTACAAGAATTGACATGAAACTACATAAATAATATATCCCACTATAAGTGTTGTGGAGTTTTCCAAAGCACAGCGAATGTTATTGTGATTGTAAAAAAGCCAACTTGATTTGAAAGTGTAACTGACTTCATTTTTGTCTTGTCATTCTGTTTTCCTCATCATCGTTTGACTCCTTTTCGCGGAAGGTTGGTGTCCATAGCATCGGTAACCCGCACTCTTTGTCTTTGACTTTGCGGTATTTATTAAAATCTCAAACATGGACTTGAATATATATCCCCCTCCCTTCGTTATGGTTGCAGCATCAATGGAAAGGTATATTACCTGCTTCACCTTTTGAGTTTCTCAGTGTTTAAACAGAAATTGTGGTAGCCTTGAACTTGGGTTTAATGAACTCGAGTGGTGTAACTGTAGAACAGGAAAGACAGCCTTAAACAAGGCAGCTGGAAGAGACTCGGAAGTTTCTGTTATCCTTAGATTGTTATGATTCAATGGTGACTCTTGTTTCTGAAGCCCTGATGTGGCCTGGGCATACGTTATTTAGAACCAGGTGGAAGGGTGACCTTGCAATCCCAGAAGACCTGGTTCAGAGGGAGATGACTTTCGGCTCCACTTGAGTAGGATGTCATCTCTGATTCTCTGCCGTGTTCTTTGCTCTGTCCCGTTTTGGTTGCTGACTCTCTCATCCTCAAGGTATTTGCCCTATGGTTAGTAGATGGCTGCCCAGTGACCAGGCTGAAGACATCTGCTTACCTGTTTGGAGGAGAAGAGAGCCTTGTTGCCACATTCACAGAGGTTTTGGTTACTGCCCAGTGATGAACTGTCACTGAGGCTGAAAGGTTGGGATTATGATACTTGAAATATACACACCGGAGACTGTCCTACTCAAACCTCATGGCAGTCACACAACACAGATGAAGCGGCTCCTCAGAGCAATGCTACCGTTGGGGAGAAAGGACTAGAAGCCTTGCTCTCAGCCCTCATTGGTGTCATGCTTCAGTGCTCACGGCATCTTTTGGAAGGGATGCTAGTCAGCTGGAATGTGCAGAGGTTCTGAGAAGACCAAGATGATGTGCCATCAGAGTTAGTTACAAGAGCGCGATTGGAAAAGGCAGGATACTGGGTCATACACAATCTTGACCTTCAAGAATATGATCCCCACAGGGCTGGAGTGATGGCTCAGCGGTTAAGAATATTGACTACTATTCCAGAGAACCTGGGTCCAATTCCTAGCATCCACACGGCAGCTCACAACTATCTGAAACTCTAAGATCTGACACCCTCACACAGACATTCATGCAGGCACCGAAGTACATACAAATAAATAGTTTTTTAGAAAATAGAATGCCCAGCCAGGACACTCTCTGCCTCTGTCCCATAGTCTAGTGGGGCATAATAATTACATGACACATTTTCATGGATAGAAGAATAAATCTAAATCTGAAGGTTGGGAGTGTCCCTTTCCCCAAGGCTGCTCTACCAGGTCCTGACTAATTCTGTTGGGGTTGTTTTACAGCTGGATAGCATGATTTTACACAAGGAGGCTTTTGAGAGCAGTGTAGCTTCAGACACGTACTGTGAGTGCGTGCAGTGGCAGAGTATGGCAGGATGAACGAACAGAAAACCTGCCCAATGTTAGCCTTTTCTTGCCTTCATCTTCTGGATCCCAGAATTGTAGGTCACATTGATTGTCTTGCTGGCCCCTTAGGTTTGCTTTGTGCAAGCTTGTTGGTAGTAATTTATCAAGTGTGATCCCTTCATATGTTGTTGTAATTGTTTTCTCCTTCAAGATTCAAAATGAATTAAAAGGGAAGTAAGATACCGTAAAGGTTGCGTCTGGCACTGTGTCACGGAGATGGTATTTATGCTTGCCATTCCTCCTTCTCCATGCCCAGACCCTGTCCTCACCAAGACTGGGTGAGCAGTAATGCGTTCTGAGTCTTGGAAAGAAATTCAATTTGGAGCTTTTTTTTTTTTTTAAACATTAAAGTTGACACCTAAAGCAGGAAGAGGTGTAGCTAGTAGATGCAGAGACCTAGGAAACTGAGTACCCAGAGAACCTGTAGTCTAGCCTGTGGGACTCTTGCTTTGTTCTCGTAATCACGCCTTCTGCCCCAAGCATGCCTGGCCCAGTGGGAGTCAGGAAGGAAATGATTTCCCTCTTTGGATATCCATGTACAATTGTTGTAGCCAAGGCCTCTCAGTTTTAATATTTCCGTTTTGGTCTTAAGAGCTACCAGGTATTAGAGTCTGCCGGAAGCAAAGCATTGGTCATTTCTGGTAGAGGTGTGTGTCTTGGCTCCCTGCAGTTCCTTGGCCAGGTGGCTTCTGAGTATTTGTCACCATCTGCTAGGCCAGGTTTCATTTTTATTTACTTGTTTCACAAATTACAAGGGGACTTACTGAGTGGCAACCGAGGCCCATGCAGTCTCCCAGAGTCAGTGGGTCTTCCTGTAATGCAGGGAGGATTGCTTATAGGAGATAGGATTGCTGTGAAAGAAAAGGCAGAGGAATCCCTTTTCAGCCTTCTTGACTTTCGGTGCAGTGGGGTTGCCTCTTTCTTTCCTTGCTATGGACCTAGGAGATCAGAGTTGTTTTTAAGAGTTCTTTTTCATTGGTTCCTTTGTGGTAGAAGGTGTCAAAAGTCTGTGTGGCTAAGTGTGTTGTACCATTGCTGCACAACTACTTCTTGTTATAGTATATGCTGTTATTTTCTCCCCTGAGTCTAGTCTTTGTCAGAAAGTTAGCAACTGCAGAGTCTTTTTGTTTTCCTTCCTGGAGTCCTGGAGATTGAACGCATGGCTTTTTGTATGAGGAGCAAGCTGGCACTGAGTTCCATGCGCAGCCCAGTCTTAGACTCCTTAGGATACAATGGCGAGATAGGCTCACTCCCTGATCTCTAGAAGCTTGTAACTTTCAGGGAAGATGCAAAGAGAAGAGTAACACACACACACAACGCCAAAAGATGCTTAGAGAAGACAGTCACACACAGTGGGAAGAGACGCAGAGAGAAGATGGTCACACACAGTGGGAAGAGAAACATAGAGAAGACAGTCACACACAATGGGAAGAGACTCAGAGAGAAGATGATCACACAATGGGAGGAGACGTAGAGAGAAGACAGTCACACACAGTGGGAAGAGATGAAGAGAGAAGAGACTCACACAATGCAATGGCAAGAGATGCATAAAGAGGATGGTCACACACAATGGGAAGAAAAACAGAGAAGATGGTCACACACAGTGGGAAGAAAAACAGAGAAAGATGGTCACACACAGTGGGAAGAGATGTAGAGAAAAGAGAGTCACACACAGTGGGAAGAAATGTAGAGAGAAGACATCCCACATAATGGGATAATGATTGGTTACAGTGTTTTTATTTGTCACAAAATGTGTTTCAAGCCTTACTATATTGGGGCATGGAGGTAAGTAAATCACAGACCCAGATCTCCCTGAGTCTAGACAAAGGGCATGGAGAGTGGAGAGGATCTTATGGACAGTTTCCAGGGAGAAGATTTATCTCTAAGGGACACCCGGGGATGGTATGGTGAGCCTGTGACCATAGTTGTGGCACAAAAGCTGGTCAGTATATGAGGATGGAAGTGGATAATATAAAAATTTGACTGGACACGTCAACATTTCATGTGTGATTCTGTTTCCAGCTCATCTGTAATCACAAGCTTCAGCAGAAAGTACTGCCCTGACTTTTTATACCCTGCTGTTACATTCACAGTAATGCATGCATGGCCAGAGCGTGCCTGGCTCCGTGTCCCAAAGGTAGACAGCAGCTCTGTGTTCTTGAGCAAAAGTGTTTCTTTTCAGAGTTCCTGATATGGAACCCTGGTGATCTGATTCCTAGGCTTAATGCAAAATAGTAGATTTAGTGGGGTGAATCAGCAAATATTCTAGAATTTGAACATTGCAGACTCTCATGCAGTATTATCAGTTACTGTTTCTGTGTAACATTTCCCCCAACTTTTCCACTAAAAGAAGAAACATCCATTTAAGCTGGGTGGTTGGCAGTACACACCTCTAATCCCAGCACTCAGGAGGCAGAGCCAGGCAGATCTCTTGAGTTTCAGGACAGCTAGGGCTACACAAAGAAACCCTGTCTTGGAAAAAACAAGAAATAAACAAATAAACAAAAACAGAAAAAAGAACCATCTATTCATTCCTACTTTCTATAGGACAGAGATTTGGCAGCTTAGATGGGTCCCTCAGGCCTTCTCCTGAGGTTGCAGGTGAGCTTTC